AATCTATTGTCTGAATCAATATATGAAATGTTACTTAAACATTTAGATCATGTTAACCTTTTAACCCCATGAGTGATCAAGACAGAATTTCTCCTTCTTTGTTTTAACATTATACCCATTCTACAGAAATTTGTCATGAACTTACAATTTTTGTTGCCTGAAAACAGGTAAAAGGGCATCTGTTCTTGCAGCCAAGGGTACTGTAGATATCATACTAAGAGTGATTGTGAGTGCTAGTAAAGAAGCATCAGTTTGTGAAGAGGCCTTGCTGCTTTGCCATGTCATTTTAACAAAAGTTGGGCCAAAAGGTGAGATGTTAGATACATGTAAGTTAATACCTGGTGATCTTTTCGGGTATATGTAGACAGATAAATCTGAAAGGAACACGGCATCGGGTATTACTTGTTATCTACAATATATTGACCTTGAGAGCCAGTAACCTCTTACAAAGAAAGCTGTGAAGTCTGCACATGGTTGACCCTGATATACATCATTGGGTTCAGATATTGACCACAGAAGAGTATTACTTGAATCATTGTGGATAGGGTAATTAGAGTCCCTATGTGTAGTATATGTTTAAGGGTGCTGAACTCGTAATCTAGTGGTCCTCCATCCTGCTATTCGCTGGATTTGTTCTCAGTCACCCTTATTTCAACTCCATGGCTGCACTTTGTAAATAGCCAACTAGTCTGCCTCCAGCCAGTTGGGATTTTCAAGTGCTTTATGTTGCCTTGAATCATTTGTTTCTCTCTCTTTCTTAATGTAAAGTGCTTAGAGGCTTGCAATAAGTGCTACTTGAATAGTTAATTTAATTTTGATATAGTAGAGATTTAGGTTACCAGGTACTGTCTCTGAAGTACTTTTGTTGTCATGTTTCTGAAGAAAATCTCAATTGAGTGGTGTAGTATCACTTAAAATCAGGGGCCATGCCAAACCAAACCTTGCAGTCAAGAGGAAAATTGAAAGAGGCCTGGCTTAGAAAATCACATAAATGTATCAGTTCTCAAAGGGAAATGACACTCTTTTGCTCACACATATGGAGCATGTCTTTTCAAAATGAATTCTTCTTGTAAGCAAAAGAGCTACCTGTTGCCGTATTTATTTTTGTTCAGTAATTGTTTGTAAAACTGCCTCTGAGGGAGATTTTGGCATCGTGGTTTAGTTCGTCAGGAATACAAAATAAGCAAGAATAAACCAAGAAAAAACAAGGGTGACCAGGTTGGAGAATATTGAAATGGATTGAAATTTAAAAAAAACTCAGATGTGCAATCCATCCACAATTTACCTCCCAAGATCTGCTCATTAATTCTTCATGCTTTCTGCTTGTTCACAGATCGTAAACTTTGTGTGAAAGCTCGTTTGACTGGAGCTCTCCAAGTCACAATGAATATGGTGAAGAACAATACAACATTCTTTAAGGTTCTACAACCTGCATTACAAGTCCTTAAACTATACTCTGCCAATTGTAAGTTATCAAACTGTACATGTTCAACTCTGCCATACATTGCTTACATGCATTGTCATAAATTGGGGGAATTTAAGCTTCATCTTGTTCATTTTAGTTACCTTTTTTTGTGTCATTCTTTCTTTCGTCTTCTGATTCCTATGAAATTATAAGATGAAGGCTTGATTTACAAATAATTAATATAAATACATGGTGTGTCCTAAATCTTGACTATGGCCACTTTACATGCAGTTGAAAAAGAGATTCTAAAAGAGGTCTAGAAAAGGCTCCACATAGCACCCCTACCACACAAAATGTGTGACTTCAGATTATGATCAGCTGATACCCATAGATCATTGCCTCATCAGTCAATTAGTCACAAATTTTAGGGTCAGTGACTTGCGACACGCTAATTTTTAGGGGGTGCTTTTGGATGTACAGTCTCACCTGTAGTAAGCAGCATTATATTATGTGGTCACTCTGAATTAAGCAGTCAGTTGTCAAAGTCTCACATTTGTTTCCCCTTAATTACTGTAATTTTCACCTTTATTTAGCAGTCATCTCAATTGGTTGTGGTCACCCTTTACTGAGTCCTCTACTTAGACTGAACAATAACTTAAAGCAGAACCACTCTAGGAAAACTAAGAATAATCTTTCAGGTAAAATTTAATCTAAGTTTATCTCCTGAAATTGTGGTTAGCAGTATTCTTCAGTAAACTTTTTTACCTTTTTAAGAGCTTATTAACTCCCTGATCAATCAACAAACGTTTTGCAACCAGGAGCTCCTATCAGAGCTTGTTTACTCCCTGATCCACCAACAAACTTCATACAATTGGCAGCTCTTATCATAGCTCATTTACTCTCCCAATCAAGCCACAAATTTCTTGTGATCAGGAGCTTTTTTCAGAACTCATTAACTCCATGATTAACTGAAAAACTTCTTGTGACAAGGAGCTCTTATCAGGGCTCAGTGACTCCTCAGTTGACCGACAGACCTCTTGTGATTGGGAGCTCTCATCAGAGCTCATTGAATCCCCAATCAACTGACAAATTTCTGTCTTTTTGAGTGATTAAAATCTGCTATTTATTATTTTCATCATTTTTGACCATATTTCATGAAATCAAGTTTTTTCTTGGTTTCTTTAGCAACAGTTGCCATTTGAGCCATTAACCAACTAATGAAAATTATCCTGCACTAAGTAACTGCCAGAGTTAAACCACCCCTCCAATATTTATTTTATTTGGTTGAGTAGTTACTGATGTATTATTGAAAAGTTCCTGCACACATAAATACTGTACAATCAAACCTGTATTAGGGAGTTACCCATGGGGAATGGCATAGTGACCGTTAAATACAAGTTGACAGCTTAATACAGGTCCCTTAGATTAGGAGTATTATAAAAAAACAAACACAACACCACTTTATGCCATAATTAGCCACTTAATGTACAGAATCTTGCTCAAAAATGCTACTTACTTTGAATTTGGGATAGAAATATGGATTAAAAATTGCTTGAGAGATTACTCTGGGTGTTATTTGAGTGGTTCTGCTTTAAGTGATACAGGTGAATGACAATACAGACAAGCCATTGGGACTTTGTCAAAGGTGACCCTAACTGCTCAATAGGGGTGATGTCTTAATAGAGGTGACAATTATAGTGATAAAGGTGAAACAAATTCAGAACTGTGGTAACCGACCGCTTGATATAGGGTGACCACTTGATACAGTACTGCTTAACACATGTTCTCCTTTATCATTTGGTACTTCCATCACCCCTAACAGCTTGTCACTAGGTCCCCACCTGGTGACTATGGCTGGCTTATCTAAGACCTTTTGTTATCAGGCTACCATGATTAGATGTCAAACCTTTTGTGTGGTGGGAGTGCCACAAGGTTGACTTTTTCTGGCTTCTCCTCCTCAACCAATATGATATATTCTCTCCAGAAGGAATTATGATTCTAAACAAAGCTCAGTCACATGTTCCTGGCCATGAATGCTTTCTCTTCATCACTTGGGTTGTGTCTTAGGCAAGGCTAGATACTGTACCTTAGCCAGCTACTTGTTGTTGGAGGACATGAGTAAGCTATGTTGTATAAAAGCTTTTTAGAACTGTGCTCTTCATATATCTTAGAAGAGTCAAGACCCCTTCAAGCTTTCCTTTGATTCTCTAAGAGTGCATTGTTGAATCTTGTTTTGAAGCCGTCAACTGCAATGCCCTGGCCAAAGCAGGAGCTGTTGGTGTTCTTTTTAGAGTGGTTACCAGTTGTGGTCACAAGAGGGTTATCTGTTTAAAGTAGGGATGCATTTTTACCTTTTAGCTCTTGAAACGCTGGTATATCATTTGGTTTTGCATTTTATTTCTTAGATCACCATCAGATCTTTTACAGAGCTATTTTGTTGTTCTTTTGTTTTTGAACAAAATTGGCATTTCCAAATTATGTGGACAGAGCCTGATAATTTACTAGTAAGAACAATAATTTATTAAGGGTGTTACTCACATGTAATATAGTCAATTTTCACAAACGATTTCCTATTTTCTCTGTTTACATTGACTTTTAAGTTAATGGCAGTTATT